TTCTTTTTTTCGCCACCGCTGCAACTTGCAACTGTTCGGTTTTAGATGATTCCAAGCCGACTATAATTTTATACGTTTGGATACTGTCCACCTTATTGACGATTTCAATCCGTTTGACACTACATGACTACTTACTACCCAATAGTTCATCTTATCCCTTTGCATGAATATCATGCAGTAAAAAAAAGCAAATTACAGATCGCATAATCGCCATGGAAGCTAATCAGCTCTTCTGATGTGTAATGTTCGGATAGGCCGAAAAGGTGTTAGACCGAGTAGTGACATAAAACTTTTCATTATTTTGGCTGGATGAAATTTATTTTGAAAAAAAAAAATTCTGTCCGTTTGCCATTACTGTCTTCTAACCTGTAAAACCTCGGCTTTTTTTTGGAACTTTACCGAGCAGTTCTTTTCCTGTACTATGCCCCCAGTTACCATCCTTCGTATATGTAATTATGGGCGGGCATCACTTCGGAGATAATCCGAGTGATTGTTTTTTGATACATCACGCCAGGGAAGCGAACCACTTGCGTTTTCTAGCGAATCTTGCATTCCGGTTACTACTGCTACATCCTGCACGTCACTCATCTGATGGCTCATTTAACGGGTATTTGGCAAAAATATTTACAGAATTTAGCGCAAAGTCACTTTTTGGTGCGACGCTTAAAAACGTTCTGGTCGAATTTGTAAGAAATTTCTAGAATTTCTATGCTTTTGTTGATTTTTTACTAGAGGAATCAAATTTTAGCTTATTATGTTGTGTGAACGATGCTTGGTGCTGCTGCTGCATATGGGTGATGCCTTCGATATCTGGACCGATGGAAGCTTTTTTTGCTACTGGGATTTATGCGCTGCTGCACCAGGCTGTGAACATGAGTACTTTACAATGGAAAATGTACTCGATTTACTAGTACAGTTACTGGAACAGGCCAGCTGCAAGGGATATCTGGATGAGGATGCAGAGGTAAAGTCTTTGCTTTCTTTTAGTTCTTCAGACAGGGCGCTTGAAATGTAAGCCCTCTTTTGG